CGCGATTGCGGACAGGTGGCAATTGCGCGCGTCCCTGATAATCAAGATCAGGCGTGAAAGCCGATAAGAATGAGGAATGGAATATTAGCTCGACGTCGAGAGCGTGTGTCGTCGCGCTTGTGTCGTCCGCGCGCGTAAAGTCGCGTCGACAGAAAGATTCGTGCCGCGGCAATGTTTGCCGCGTTTAGGAAGTAAATAAAACGAATTGCAGACGTCGTGAGATCATTAGAAGATTGCGTGGCGAGATAACGCTACGGGAAAATTATTGCCTGAATAACGCTGGAGGCATTTTTCGCTCGCTTTGACCTGATCTACCTGCACACGCGCTTTTCATATCTCTTCTATCTTGCATCGGACATCCTGTATACACCACGTGTTTCAAAATTCCGTGGTGTTATTGGAGCAAATACCGACCTCGCGGGCACGAGACTGTGTCGGCGTGACTTCCGCGACACACGTCGCCACGCGCGATATTAATCGAAGGGACAATTGCCAGAGATACGTCGGTCCGCGAAACGGAGAGAGAGCTAGAAAGCGATCGCGCTGACACGAGCCCGGTCTCGACATATATAGCCTCTATTCGGCCTATTTAGCAACATGCCGCGATCGTTGCGAGACGTTAACGCGTTCGCAAACGTTTCAAACGTCACGCGCGCCTGTCGATCGGACTCGCCTGAATTTCACTTGAAAGCGAACGCGATGCGCGTGCCGATACCCCCGTTTCTTTTTTTTTCTCGCCCGGCCGAGCCGGGCGAATCGGCAGAAAGAGGAAGGGAGACATGCACGACGCACGTGGCCGGGACTATAGCACACAGAAAAACGTGTAAGCACTACTTTCCAAGGTACAATCAGTCTGTTCTCCCTTCACTGAAATGTTGTACTTATAACTGATTATTCAGTTACGAGTATAGCGTTCACTGCAATCAGTCAAATCTCGCCGAGAAGATCAGTCGATAGCGACTGTGTTATGATTTTTTATGCATGTTGGCGAACACAGTCAGTGCACGCCATCGCACGCAGTTGCATGAAAACCGTTAATTTGACCAGAAGTTGGATTTTATGCAGAACATATCGTAATTTGTGTACACAGAGAGAATTTTGTAGGGAAAATTAGTACAGGACTTTGTAGCCAAGGAATAGGTCAATATTCTGCAGTAATTCACTATCCTTTCACACACATACGCACATTTCATGTGCGCTACTTATATTTTAGAAACTGAAATGTGCTACTAAAACACTTGCTAGAGAAATCTACTGTGTTTCTAACGAAATTTACTATGTTCCTTAGCAACATAAACGTCACCGACAGTCTATCCCTGAACTAGAAACATAGTGAAATTGGAAAGAATTGATGTGAAAGAGAAAAAAGAAACTATAATGTTCTCTGTGTAATGCAGGTTTTGCAATGAAATTTTGCTACTAGTCAAATCAGTGTGATATAAGACGGAGCAGAGTAAAGTGAGAGTGTTTTTATTGAAGATTAATGAACACTCACTGATTATCGTTGAGGTACCCTTTTTGCTGACACAATCAGAGACATTTTTACCCATTCACTTTAAGAGAGCAAGTGAATCGGTCAATCGTCCTCGCGAATTATCGTGAACGTAAGAGAGATCTCGATTAAAAATTTATGCTGACCAGTTTAGTTACAATCAGTTGTCTGGTTTATATAACGTCAAGCTCTAATAAATGCAGCATGACAATCAGAGTCTTATTAATAGTAAGGATTATAAATAATTAGGATCCTACTGATAATGAGGATTCGATAACCTAACCTAATCTAATCTTATATAAACCAGATAACTGATTGGGATGAACTTGTGATCAGGATTATGAGATAAATTTCTAATCGAGATTATCATGTTGAAATACTCGACTGTGATCGATTCGTTTACTTTGAGAATTTCTTGAAATGGAATTCCACTCGAAAAGTGGAATAGAGTAGAGTGACAGCCGAGTCACTTGAATTCGAGGGATTTTTCATTCATGTAGAGTGAATTTTCCACCCTGAATCGTCGAGTGAACATTTTTATTGGAAATTGAAGAGCGAATCTGATACACTTCATCGTCTCACTGGCACAAATTCACTCTAATCGACCGAAACATTTCACATTCTCACTCGTGCGGATTAAGAATCCATGATATGGTTTGAATGAAGCATTCACTCTCGTGATTTTGAGCAGTACTTTCACCGTCGGTCACAGTGATTTTTCACTCGTTTTGATTTTAATCCCATTTCAAGAAATTTAGAGAATACACCGAGAAAAAATTAACATGTGTAATTATAATCACATAGAGGAATAATTGTTATAAATTATGACCAAAGGACCCATTTCTTCAGTAAATTCTACTATAATGTTAGTAAAGATGTGCGAATTATTCGAATTCAAATCGAATAAAGTAAAATTTGATCCGGATCGAATCGCTAAAGAATTTTTAATTAACATAATCATTGAATTCAATATGAAAATAGTGACTTCAGTACGAGAGAGATAACATTGATCATGTGATATCAATTTATTTTAAAATAAGAGACATAATATATAGTCGTTAAACGTATATGGAATACAGTTCCAGCCTTGAAAGCTGCGCAACGACACATGTCGATCCGACAGTTGGCTGTGAGAGTTTATCTAAAAACCATTATCTTCTTTTATGATATTTTTGAAGAAAATCTTAATGTATAGCAAACTTTTCAAGTCATGCTAATTTCCGTAAAGCTGGATATCTTTAATAGTTCTTCGTTAATGTTAATGTGCGCGATCCGTATTCGAATCTTTATGATTTAAAATTTTCGAATTATTCGAATTTGAATCATAGGGATTCGAATTTGAATCAAATCAAATTTTCAAATTCGAATTCCTATGATTCGAATCTGAATAATTCGAAAATTTTAAATCGTAAAGATTCGAATACGGATTGCGCACATTAACATTAACGAAGAACTATTAAAGATCCAGCTTTACGGAAATTAGCATGACTTGAAAAATTTGCTATACATTAAGATTTTCTTCAAAAATATTAAAAGAAGATAATGGCTTTTAAATAAACTCTCACAGCCAACTGTCGGATCGGCATGTGTCGTTGCGCAGCTTTCAAGGCTGGAACTGTATTCCATATACGTTTAACGACTATATATTATGTCTCTTATTTTAAAATAAATTGATATCACATGATCAATGTTATCTCTCTCGTACTGAAGTCACTATTTTCATGTTGAATTCAATGATTATGTTAATTAAAAATTCTTTTAGCGATTCGATTCGGGTGAAACTTCATCGATTCAATTCGAATTCGAAATTAAAATCTAAGATTCGATTTGATGTTAAAAATCTTTGATTCGCATATCTCTAAATGTTAGTGATAATAACTTTATATGCGTATTACTACTACCATTTTCGTGTCAGAACAACTAAAAATATAGTTGGAGCCAAAAGTATCTATAATTTTAGTTAGATTAGCCATCTTTTTTCTCCCAGTGTTTTCAGTGCACGATTCATCTGCAATCTGACAGTGCTCTCAATCTAACGACCGATCGTCTTTGGATCGATTCTTCCTCTCTTTCTCTTTTCTCAAACGAGGAAGCGGAGAATTACGTAAATTACGTTTCCCGTAAAAATAACGGTACGCATCGAGAGGAGGAAAAGACGAAGAAGCGGAGCGACGAGCGGCATAATCGCGTTTTTCTTCGGGAGTGAAATAAAAAAGAAAAAAAACAGAAGCCTGACGTACTTTCCAGTAGGACTGTATCGGATAGAGCTGTCTAGCGAAGAGCGATGAAAAGAGCGCCGGGTGGTCGATAGCCAGATTGAGAACAAAAACTGCCGCGCATACCTCCTCCTCCTCCTCCTCCTCTTCCTCCTTCTCCCGGCGGAGGCGAGTATCCACGCGACGGACTTATTTGGGTCAGATCCGAATGTCTAGTGAAAAAAATATGAGGGCTGCCAAATGCGAACACCAGCGCTGGTGGATGCGCTTGGACGCGAGGGAGCGCGAGCGCACGCGGTCGCTATTCCGGGTATTTCGGGCATTTAATGCAGCGACGATGCGAGTGAATGAGTCGTAATCCGGGAATAATTCATTGAATTGCACGCCGCAATAAGAGCAGAAAACATTCTGCAGTGAACCGCTCTCACGCTGAAACAATTGCCCTCGTATTTGGAACTAAAATATCTGGTACACGCGATTCGGCTGGTACTACGTGTTTCCGATTTGTGTCAGGCACGTCATGGACGCCCGAACACTTACTAGATCGTGGGTTACACGATCTTCAGCCTTACATATAATAGCTGAGGTTAAAAGTTGCATAAGTAACTCTGATCACAATGTTTAATGGCGTTAATTATAACGATTTCAGTCTTACTTGTACACGCATAAAGCCGAAAATACTGAAACTCTCGATCTAGGGAATGTTAGAGTATCCACACTCAGGGAAAAATTATCTTAAAATCAACAAATATTTCTTTGATGAGTGTCATTAACATATTTATTTAAATCTAAATTCTCTTTACTTAAACCAAATATTGTTTACTTAAATCAGGTAAACAATATTTGATTTAAATAAAAAGAATTTAGATTTAAGTAAATATGTTAATGGCACCCATCAAGGAAATATTTGTTGATTTTAAGGTAATTTTTCCCTCAGTGCATGACGTGGTGTGTACACGTCTTATTGAGAAAGCAGAACACACATCGCGGCAAATGAATTTTTTGGTTGCAATTACCAAACGTTTGGTTAATCCTATTTTCATCAAATTATGGTTCCGAATTATTGGTTTTGACAACAAAGTCCTTTTTACAGCGCACCGTTATTCGCGAGCTCTCCCGCTCGGGCGAACTAGTTGCGAAACGTCTGAGGCGACTTTGACAGAGGGAAGAAGAACGTATTCTTGCATCCTCCTCTCCCCCTCCTCTTCACTTGCTTCTCCTTTTCGTTTTCGTCTTTTTGCAATAGATGCAAACTCGCTGACACGATTTCAACCCGGAGACATCGCACTCACCTCCGAAAGTTTGGTAGAACTGCGAGAGGTAGGTGAGAATTGACAATCGATCGGGCACCGTGCACGACGCCATATCCTCGGCATCTAGCAGGGCGGGAATCCCGAGATGCTGTTCGGCTGTTCTAAAGGCCAGCTCGTTGTTCCCGTATACGTCGTCCTTGTTCAGACTGTTGAAGTCGCTGTAACCGAAAGAAGAAGAGGAAAAAAATAAGAGGCCGGCAAGACGAAGGGCCAAAGTTAATATAACAGCTCGCCATTATCCGTCTCTCGCGCCGTTTTTATCCTTCTGTATATAAGTAAGGCCGAGTGCGGCATTAATCTTCTACTATTCGTTACTTCGATACATAACCCCGCGGTATGTCGTCCATATTTATTCGCCCCGAAGGCCAAGCCGATGAAAGCGTCGGATGTGTAAAAAAAATTCCTTGAATTAATCAAAGCCGCGTCGTCGTCGTCGTCGTCGAGGGACCCCGCCGCCGTGGGCGGATTTAGTGGGAATCGTTTTTTTCATTAAAGATGATACAAATAAACGGTAGAACGCGGCAACCGAGTAATTTCGTAAACGACCTGGCTACATATGCTCGATTTTTATTGAAGGAACACTGAGCGGTCGCGGAATCGCGATTGTGATCGCAATACTCCACGGGAGAAAAGTTTGGTTGTATTAACCAAACGTATGGTGAAGTGTGAACGAAAGTCACCACACGGAAAAAGAATATGGTCGAAATCAAATCTCTGGTGAAACGAACCAAAAATTCTGCTTGAAGCTATCGGAATTCTGTTCAAAGCTAACAGGACTTCTCGTTCATATCTTATCAGAAATAATTTAAACAACTTCTTTCCCGTGCAGGAAATAGCAGCATTAGAGCTCTATTTTCATTTTTTTCATTGTGGCAGAATACCTTCCTTTTGGTTTTAGGAGAATCCTCTTGAGGATTAACATAAGAGGCTGACATAAGAGGATTTTCCTAAGAATGAGATTATACATTTCTGGATGCGCAAAGGAAGACAAAGTCAAAACAGGTATAATGTGCGTATTCTAAAATATATTGTACTTTCATCAATGGCAGGAAACGGCAAGAAAATGTTCAATTATCTCATATCTGAAAAGGAAGCGTGAGGAATTAATTGGATAATACCTCGATTGATGTTCAATCTAAGAGCTACAGCGGAATCTCGAGAGACTCACGACTACTTTGAATAAGGATCGCGACGGACAAGACGTCACTTGGATCGACTTTTAGCTTGTCATTGTTTTTTATTGTTGTCAACCTCGCAGTCTTACAGGTAACTCAATTTGCGCTTGTCAGTTACAGGAACGAATCGAGGAGAGCGGCGGATACGAGAGAGAACGCCGCCGGTGACGTCTCCCGTATTATACCTGAGAAATCGCGGTGCAACATATTCGCACACGATTGCCGTGCGCAATTGTCGATCGACGTTATTTGTCGCGTGTATTGAAATCGGCGTAGCGTGCCGTCGTTGCCGTGTATACCGCGCCCGTGTAATAACGGGATACACCGGAAATACGAAGGCGGCCCTATCGGCTCGCGTCGTACAGTGGAACGTAGAGAGCGTGTATCGTAATTCAATTTTCGCATGACTGAAAAGAGATCCCGCGAATATATAATTCATCTTGCAGCGTATGACGGACTGCTCCGCCGCCGGAATGGAAAATCTGTCGAAATGTCATTGTCACAGCGAAATGTGATTTTTCAAATCGTAAATATCTACCGGCTCCGCAGACATTCAAATAGAGAAGATGGGCCGATGATAGTCATGAGATATCAAACGTGATAAGTTTGAATTAACAACGCAGGACAACAAAAAGGTTTTTGTCAAGTAACTCTCAGGAGAGTAGAAAAGAATTGTCAAATGGTGTCGGTCTCCTAAATCGTATTCTCATTAATTTCTTTCTTTTTATTGAACAACACACATACGTATATTATAATAGATATCATAATTTATCTTATCCTACTTGGGAAAATACGCATTAATATCACAGATTTTAATCTAATTCATGTGGGAAGATTAGGTTAGGCGAGGTTACAGTAAAAGAGTAATGAATATCGGATTTACATGAAAGATTTATGTAAAGAAATAAAATAAAATTTTTAAAAAGAACCTAATTTCTTTGTAAACGGAATTTAGTCTAATCGTATTTAAGTGTTCGCCAATTTTTTTATTATTATCAAATATGAACGACATCCAACGGTAAAAATGATAAATAAATGAGCAATAAGAAAAATAAGTAAATAATTTTTAGGTTATATATTATTTAGTGTGTATGTGTGTGCTACAAACACTAAAAAATCAGATATAAAGAAAAATATTTAAAAAACTAAAAAATATTTATCCGCAGTGGAGGGGGGAAGGCACTAATAACAAATTTATTTAAATCTAAATTATTTTGTTTTAATAAATATAAACACTTGCTTTCATGAAAAGCTAAGGTTTTAAGAAAATATGCATATTCTTATTTGAAAAAAATTTGGTATTAGTATAAGACAACATGTTATTAGTATCCATTCCAAGTAAATATTTTGCATTCCCTAGATATTTTTCTCTTTCTTCTTATATGTACGTGATCGAGCAATTTAGCGAACGGCATAGTTTTTGTGACTGGAAATCCATTGATACTCTGATTGGGGTTACTTGACAAAATCTCTTTTTGTGATCCTGTGCAATTAATATCAATCTAATTATCTTGCGACTGACTGTCATGAGATCACTTTTTTTTTATTTTTATTATTTTCCATTTCTCCTTCTGTATATTTACACAGATAAACAGCGAGTTATTTCGGCGTGAACGCCGCTTCGGAAATGAGCGCTCGATAACGCCATCGGCTCAAACTCTGCAGTAATGTCAATAAGCGTCGGCTGATAGTCGGCGCGAAAAGCCGCGGCAATATCGCCGGCGAGAGATTTCGGCAGAGCGCGGGGACAGGCGATCGTGGCATTCAAAGTCGTTCAGAATGCGCTTAAAAGCGGCGACATAAGGTGAAAAGTCGAGAGAGAGAGAGAGAGAGAGAG